CGGACGGCGGCACGACGCCGTTGACGACGGTGGAGGGGTCGATCGGCGGCGCCGACGGGATGGCGGCCGCGGCCGTGCTCATGATGCCAGATGCGGCCGCGACTGGCGCAGTGGCATCGGCCGGAGTTGAGGAGGCGGCGGCGGTGGCGGCGGCATCGGCAGTCGAGGCTGAGGCCGGATCCGCCGCTGCGGCATCGGCGGCGGGTGGTACTGCAGCCGTCTGGTCCGCAGCCGTCGGATCCGGCATCGGTTGGCCCACATCGGGGTACGCGGGCGCAGCGTCGGCGGTTGCGGTGGCAGTCGCGTCGGTGGCGGCTGAATCCTGAGCAGTCTCGGGGGCAGCTTGATCGGCGGGAGCGGCGGCGTCCGCGGCGGCAGCGGCATCGGTATCCTCGGATGGAGCCTCAGCGGGAGGAACGTCTGCGGCCGGGTCGGCGTCCTGCCTCTTTGCCCAGATGGCGGATCTTGGTGCGACGTTTACTGGCTCTGTTGTCGCGTTGCCGTCCGGGGTGGCAGCAGCAGAGGAGGCAATGGAGGCAGCAGAGGTAGGATCAGTACCGGTGCCGGATCCATCGGTCCACTCGCTCTGACCCTGATCCGAGGCCAATGCCGGGTCCGCCTGACCTTGGTCCGGGGTGGCCGAGAGGTTGCTGCTCACAGGTGCGGTCGAGTCGGGCGAGGAGAAGGTCTGTTTCTGGTCGGCCACCATGGACTGGTACTCGTCTCCCAGCGGTTGCGAGTCGGCCTGTGCCTGGGCGGCTTCGCGGTTGGCAGAGGCGACGTGCATGGCCTGGATCGTCTGGTCGTAGAAGGCCGCTTCGGCCGCCGATCCATACTGGCCCGAGGCGACTTCGGCCGCGGCGGCGGCATCGGCTGCCGTCTCGGGGGCGGGCGCGGGTGCGGCGGGATCGGCGGGTGCCGCAGCGGCATCGGTCACGGCCTGGACCACGGCTCCGTCTGCGGGAGCAGGTGCGGGTGCGGGTGCGGTGGCGTTTGCGGCGCCTGGGGCGGGGACGCCGGGGATGTTTCCAGCCTGGGCGAGGGCCATCGAGGCGAGCTGCTGCATCGCATCGGCGGGCGCCACATCGTCGGCGGCGGCGGCGGGTTGCTGCGCCACGGCCTGCGAGGCATCCGGCACCGTCGCGGCGGGCGGGGCCGGGATCCCGACCTTGTACATGTCGGCGTTGGACATGGCCGGTTGCGCCACCGAGACGAACCCGGCCGGCGCAGCCGCAGCGGTGGTGTCGTCCTGGCGAGCAAGGAGGACGGGACGCGCGTCCGCCCCGTAGCCTGCCAGGGCAAACGCAAGGAGGACGGCGACGAAGAGCTTGCGCGACGGCGAGCTTGAAGACGATGTCGTCTTGGCGCTGCGCCTGTTGTTCGAGGTCGTGTTCGAAGCCATGGTGATCGGAGGTGCTGGTTGATCGATCGAGGAGCGATGAAGAGGGGTCGAAAAGGGAGGTAAAAGCGAACAAAGAAAGAAGAGAGGGACAGGGAGAGAGAGCTCTAGCTCGTTTCGTCGGATGGGCACGTCGGTGGAGCTGGACCTCGCAGAGGAATCCAGGAACAAGTCGAGTACGGGTTCGGCGCCTGTCCGATGCAAGAACGAGGGAGGAGCGTCTGTGTTCTGTCGCGCAGGGATAAGAAGAAAATGGGGTAGGGACACGAAAGGCTAGCCAGAGCCTTTGTGAGAGAAGAGAAAGGGGGGGCAAAGAGAGCCGAAAGGAAGGTGGCTTCGAGGATGGAGGTGGTTGGTTGGACGAGGGAGGCGAAGGAGGGGCGACGAGCGGCGAGGCAGGAGGGTTTATCTACCCCGCCCTCGTCGTGCCCAGCGAGGCGCTCTGGTCGTGAGGCGTTGGCGCTGGCGCTGGCGCTGTCCTGGCCTGGCTGTTGTGGAACTGCCGGTCCTCGAGACACCGTCGATGCTCAGCCGTAGATGTTGGAGACGGTGGTTCCGCCGTCGCACGTATGTACACGGTCCGGTCGAGCTCGAGCCTTGGCTTGCATCGCTCGTTGAACCTGCCATCTTGGGCTTCGAGACGGCTGACCGGCTGGCTGGCTGGGGGCGACGCGTCTTGACCTGGGACGGTCCTGACCTTGCTCGAGCAGTGCCGGCCGGCCCAAGTTGACTGATCATCTCGCCGCGAGGCCTGCTTCTCGTTCCTGGCCGATGCTGCATGTGTCGGGTGTCATGATGGCGACCGTGAAAAGGTCGAGTCGTGTCGTGGTCGAGAGGGCGAGGCTGATATGACCCGTTCGACGGAAGGAGCGCGGTGGCCAGGCCGAGCAGGCAAGAAGGTCAAGGCCGGGCCGATTTTCGTCGTCATTTTCCCGGCCCTTTTTTGACGTGGCACGTCCATCTGGTCCAGCCCGCTCGCTCGTTCGCTGCGTGGACTGATCTCGACGCAGGACTTGCGCACGCCTTGCTCGTCGTCACGGCAAGAGCTTGATCGCCTCTCCCAAGGGCGGTAGTGTGATCCGTCTTCGACCGGCTCCGAGGCGCACCGCTTCTTCCCTCACACCAGGGGGCAAGGATGCAGCCCGCACCAGACAGGCGCCTTTCCTAGCCAAGGGGCTCAGCGTCCGATGGAAGGTGTGCTCGAAGTACGCACCAGATACGGCGACCGTCCGCCGCCGATGCAGGCCCACCAGCAATGCACGCAACGCATAGGGATCTTGGCGATGTCGTACAGCCCACACGACAAACAAGATCGAGCGACGAGGCCGGCGCAACGCCGGATCAAGATTGCCACGCGGCAAGGTGCCCTGTGTCTTTGTTCGGCTCAGATGAGCCGGTCGCCTCGAGCAAAGCCAGGCCAGCCTAGGCACCGTCGTCAGTCGGACACGACGTCAAGGAAGCCCGCCTCGACCGCCTTGTTGTCCTATCTCGAGCAGCTTGCAGCGGGGCTACCGTACTCTGATGTACTGCTGCGCACCTGCCAGGCCAGCGACGTAGAAGGATGGCCGGTCGTGTAGATGGGCCCCGACCGAGGGAAAAGACTGGAGATTGCCGTCGAGGACCCTGAGCAGCAAGGGACGCACACCGAGATGTCCGGCCACGCATCAATCCTGATCTCCTCGTCGTCAGGTCCCGCTCGCTGTCGCTGCCAGGGTCTTTTGGTGCCCTGACCCTAACGCAACTACTTACACCAAGGGCCGAGGAGGGGAGGAGAAGGAGTTCGGGGGCGCGCAGCGTCGGGGTGCGGAGCTACGGAGAACTGAGCTGAACGCGACAGAGACCCCGCGCACCCAACCGGCGGGGAGGGGGGCCCGCCTCACTCTGCATTCGGCTGAAGAGGAGAAGAAGGAGCAGTAGGAGGAAGCCGACGACCGTCTCGCTCGTCCTGTCGCGTCGATTGTGAAGGGGCGCCGACATCAGCATCGTCGACTGCAAGGCACCGAGGCCCGTTCTATTCTGTGTGTACCTGCCCTGGCACGCACCCGATCGGATCGAGCGTGGTGTCAGAGGATGACGACCGGGACCAAGGCCGGCTTTCAGCGCTGTTGCCATCCCGGCGCTGCAACTGGTACTGCACCTGGCAGGCCTGGCCTGCTCTCCTGAGTCAGGAGGCTACCGGTAGCTACAGTAGGGTTCAGGAAGCGAGCGAAGGCGCTACCGGTAGGTCGTGGACGTGTCTGTCGGTGCATGCATGGATCTGACCATGTGGCCAACGAGCGCGAGCCCTCGATGATGTCCACCGAGCTGGCTTTCAGGCGGCAGCTTGGGTCAGAGGTCGAGAGGAGATGAGATTGCCGAAGCCGTGACAGCAGGTCAAACTGTTGGCGGCGACTTGCACGAGGACGAGCGCTGGGCCCCGACTCTGATCCCGTCCGAAGAGCGCCGACAAGGGGGAAGGCTGCCTGCGCTCGTCGAAATCAAACGGCGATCCCCCTTTTCATATCTGGCTCCGTCCTCGGCGAGGGCTGGGCTCGATATGAAGACGAAGAGGCCTAGTTCCGGTGGTTGGTACGCGCGACTCTACGGAGGGGGGACCCCAGGGTCGAAGGCGCAAAGAGCCGGCGTTGGCTGTTCTGGGGCCACCGCGTGGCGCCCAGCCCGGGATTGACGGAAGAAGGGCAGTCAAGCTAAGCGCTGCCTCCGCAAGCTGCCTTTTGGCCGACGGCAATCTCTGTCGGTGGCCCGTAGGCCGTACCGGTATGGCGCGGCGCGGGTTGTGGTCCTGCTCCTGACTTCGGTCTTCTCAGACCATGGACCGGCATTGAGGGGATGGCAAAAGGCCGACCGGTTGCTCGGATCGGCTCAGGTTGCCCAGGCCGGCCGTTTGCCCTGCCCGCCTGCTTAGGACTCGCGACCACAGCCAGCTCCGACGCGGCAATCTCGAACTCGATGGCTTCTCTTCCAGGGAGCCGCCCATGCAAACGCCAGAAGAGATTGCCGGATGGCCGCTCCTGAGCTCGTCGAATCAGGCAAGGCAGGAGAGAAGCCAAGGCGCGGCAATCTGTTGTCCCTTCTCTTCTCTTGTCAACTCCGACCCCTCGAAGGGCCACGCACGACGCATGTGGGCTGCTCAAACGAATGCGCACACAGAAGCCCGGCGGCGGCGGCGGCGGTGGCGGCGTACTCGATTCGACGGGGCTGCGGCCTCCTCGACCACCACCGACCCGCGCCGCCCTTCCCGAACGACCAGGCCTCGCTCGCCATGGTCTGACGATGCACGCACGCACGCCGCCGTCGTCGTCGCCGAGTTGCAACACGGCTGACGCAGACCGGGCCTCGATCCCAGCTGCAGGCGCTCGCTCGCCGTCGGAAGACCCTTGACCGTCTTGGCCTCTCTTTGTTGCTTGCTTGCTCGTCGTCGTCGTCTTGGCCGTCGTCGGGTCGTAGAGCTGCGCTGCGCCGCGCTGCGTTGGCGCCTGCACCCACGAGGCCGCTGCACCGGACCATTCATTGTCTGCACCCATCGACGGAAGCGAGTCGTTCCTGCCGGGCCCCCCTCGCCGTCTCCCCACCCGCTCCCCGCTCCCCGCGCGCCCACTGCCATCACGACCCCAACTTCCCCGTGGGACCGTCTCGCCTCACGAGGGGAACAGCGGTGGGGCTCCACAGTCGACTGACCACACCATGCTCGCCAAACCACAGTCGTACATATAAGGCCACCGCTCGTGTGTCCCTCCGCCCATTTCCCCCTCTCCTCCCCATCCCGCCACCAGCAACCTCCCTCCCCCTCCCTTCCGCTCCCTCGGCCTCCGGCCCCTCTTACGACCACCTCCAGGCCGCCCAGCCACGGCCCAGACCTCCACACTCGTCGGCGGTCCAACGACTTCGGACGGAACCCCTCCCTTTGGCACGCGGCGCCTCCGCAAGCAAAACCCCTCGCACCTCGACTCACCATGGCGCTCTCGCCCAAGTTCTACACATGGCTCGTCGGCTGCTTCGCCGCCATGGGCTCTATGTTGTTCGGTTACGATTTAGGAGTGATCGCTGGAGTGCTGGTTGCTCCTGACTTCCTCAAGACGACGAACAACCCGGACTCGGATTACCTGGGATTCATCACCAGCTCGATGCTGCTCGGGTGAGTTGGCGGGCGCGTGGCGCGGATTTTCGGCGGCGGTGGGTGGCGCCTGTCAGGAAATTCCGGTCGAGTCTGACACGTCCGACTTTGCCCTCCTCGTGCCCCCCCTTCGACACGGCCTGCAGCGCCTTTGCCGGCTCCATCCCCGCCTCGATCATCGCCGACAAGTACTCTCGCCGCTCGGCCATCGTCGCCGGATGCCTCGTCTTCCTGTTTGGTGGCTCGATGCAGACCGGCGCCACCGGCCGTGAAGTCATGCTCGCTGGCCGCTTCTTTGCCGGATTCGGCATTGGAATGATTGCCCTCCTCGTCCCCCTCTACCAGTCCGAGATTGGTGAGTGAACATGTCCGCGCCGGGCCGCAGTCACCGTCAGATCAGGGCTGGCGACTGACCGAGCTCGCCACTCCCTTCCTCGATCTGCATGCCCCGCCCGCCCGCGCCCGCCGACGACAGCCCACCCGTCGATCCGCGGAAGTCTGACGACGCTCCAGCAGTTCTTCCTCGGCATCGGTGCTCTCGTCGCCTCCTTTGTCATCTACGGCTGCAGCAACAACTACCGGGTGCGTAGAGCCGTGACGACCTTCCAAGCGTGGGCCCCGCACGCCCGACGGACCGCGAGCTGACCTGTGCCCATCACCCTTTGCATCGCGCGTCTCCCCCATCCCCCCCCCCCCCCCCCCTTCCTTGCAGGGCACCGAGTTCGAGTGGCGCTTCCCGCTCGCGCTCCAGCTCGTCCCCGCCATCCCGCTGGGCGCCCTCATCTTCTGCTTCCCCGAGTCGCCGCGATGGCTCGTCGCCCAGGGCCGCAACGAGGAGGCGCTGGCCGCCCTCGCCCGCCTCCACGCCAGCGGCGACGTGACCGACACGTTTGTCGTCGCCGAGCACGCCGAGCTGCAGCTCAAGATCCGCGAGGAGGTCGAGTCGCGCTCGGCCTGGAGCGAGATCTTTGGCGACGTCCAGTCGATCCGCAAGATCATGATTGGCATCATCCTCCAATTCAGCGTCCAGATGACGGGCGTCTCGGCCATCCAGTACTACTCGCCCCAGATCTTCTCCAACTTTGGCTTCAGCAACCAGCGCACCTTCCTCTTCCAGGCCATCGCCTCGATCTTTGCCCTGGTCGGCGAGGGCCTCTGCGTCGGCTTCGTCGACAAGGTCGGACGCAGGTGGCCCCTCATCATCTGCAACATGGGCACCGGCCTCGTCTTCATCGTCGCCGCCGCCCTCCAGGCAAACTACCCCTCGACCCCCGACAACCTCAACAAGGCCGCCTCGTACACCTTTGTCGCCTTCACCTGGCTCTTCCAGCTATTCTTCTCCGCCGGCATCGGCCCGCTCTCGTGGGCCGTCCCCGTCGAGATCCTCAACACCAACATCCGCGCAAAGGGCGTCGCCATCACCAACCTCGCCTCCTGGATCTCCAACTTCATGATCGGCCAAGTAACCCCGAGGGCCCTGGCTTCGGTCGGCTGGCGTTTCTACCTCCTTTTCGCCGTTTGCGGCTTCACCAACGCCCTCACATTCTTCCTCATCCTACCCGAAACTAAGGGGCGGACCCTAGAAGAGATGGACGATTGGTTCGCTCAGACGCCGTTCATTGTCATCCTGAGCAAGGCGAAGCCGATCGACACCAAGGAGCGGGAGCGGCAGCTGGCGGCGGGCATGGACGGTCCGGTGGCGCAGAGGCTCGGCCACAACGACTTTGAAAAGGACGGCAGCGAAAAGAGCAAGACCGAGTACCTCGACACCGCCTAAAGGGGGCCGCCGCCTTGGAGCCTCGCTCTGAACGCACCGAGAGATTCACTTCTTTCGATCAGAAACGACGACGGGAAGACGAGACGATCGACCCGTGAAACAACGACGCGCAATGGCCACCGAATACCAGTACTTCATACCACGATTGTAATTTCATCACGACGCCCTCGCGCCCTTTGGGATCCTGCTTCGCTGCGAATACACACGTTCGCGCATCCTCTGTGGCCATCGGCGAGTGTGCGCCAGCGCTCTTTCTGCGAGGCGGCTCAGCTCCGCGCGCGGCTTTTCTTGCGCGGCGCCGGCCTCACGGTCGCACTTGCCCGTTTCGTTTTTGGCTGTTGTTGCGTGTCGACGTCCCCGCCCTGGTATCTCTTCCTCTTGCGGTCTCGGCTGGTCTGCCTCACGCTGAAGAGACGGTCTAAGCCGCCCCGCTCTCCGAGACGGCTTGGCTTGGAACAAAGACATTAGCGTTGCCCCGGGCGCACCGGCAACGCAGCCGATCTGCGCCGCAACGCTCAGCAGCGAATCCCTGCTCTGTTCCCTCTCTCGAGGGTCTTTGCTCAAACCCGAAGCACGAGAGCGCGCTCCTGACTGCTGACTCCACGCGCCTGCACTGCATTGGCGGTGCAGTGCATCAAGCTCAAGACTGGCCGTGAAAATTCCCCTTGTTCCAAAGTGACTGCTGCAGTCCATCACTGTTGGCAGGCCACAAGACCTTGAACCTGCTGCTGCAACAACCTCCTCTGCATCTGTTCTGCTTCTACCTCTGCCTTCTAGGCCTAAGCAGCAGACTTGGAGGTTCAGGAGGTTGCA